ACCCCTCTCCTGCCACCAGAACCGCCCCCCCTCCACATCAAACCATGACACTATAGCACTGCCTGCTCTCTCCAAAAACACATCAAACACCATAGCAGTGCTATTACTGTCCCCAAAATCCATGCACTTAGCACTTCTATGCCTATTGCCTTTTTAGATGTGAGTGAGCATTTTTTCTTTGTTTTTCTTCTAGCGCAAAAATTAAAAACATCATCTCAACGGAAGAGGCCAAGGCCAAGCTGCTGGCAGAGCAGCAGAACAAAAAGAAAGACAGTGAAACTTCCTTTGTTCCCACCAACATGGCTGTTAACTATGTCCAGCACAACAGATGTAAGTCTCATGTAGCTCTCCTGACCCAGGTGTGACCCTCTCCTCTGCTGAAGAAAAGCAGTCAGCTGGGACAGAGTCTGATGCAGGAGAAATTAGTTCACATATCAGCACAAGCAGCTGTGTGATTCCTGTTTCTGGCATGCTCAGATAGACCCCATCTGGCTTGATCTTTTTCTTCTGTCCGTCAGCAAGGAGAGGGACATCTTACTCATGCCTTAACTTTCTGCTCTTGGACTCCCAACTGACACTGCCTCATATTTCAAGACATTTTCTTTAAATTGTGTCTTGAGCAGATGCTGGACATGCCTGCCTCATCTGTGATTCTAAATAATGGTTTATCATTGAGATAATCTATTTTGTAGGCTGCTAAAGCATACAGGTGGTCAAACAAACATGGGCCTTACTGGACAGGAGATGGGCAATAATTTCCAGGAGGGCCTCTCAGACTGCAGCCATTGGGAGGAAATGGAGCCTTTGGCTATGTCTAACCATGCTTTCAGGGGTGATGTGGAGTCAGATTTGTGTGTTCTGAAGGAAATGAAGAGTCTTTGGGCCACTTACGAGGAAACAGTGCTACTGCAATTTGCTGTATCCCATCGTACGTGTATTGATTATCTATAGAAACCAATTCCAAGAACGCTTGTTCTGAGGTTCCATTGTTTGTGCTAAAGATCAGTTGTAACAAATGCCATAGAAATGTATCTGTCTGAGTAACGCTGCTCCAGATCATACTCCTTATCTGATGTTTCCTTCTTTCAGTTTATCATGAGGAGCTAAATGCCCCAGTGCGAAGGAACAGAGAAGAGCCAAAGCCCCGTCCGCTGAGAGTGGGGGATACGGAGAGGCCAGAACCTGAGCGTAAGTTGCAAATCTGGAATGTCATAAGGAGAGACTCTCAAACTCTTCAGGGGTCTTGCACAGAGCAATGATCTAGCATTTCTTCCTTCTCTTCTTCTGGGTGCCCTGCAGTAGTGGGGAAACGGAGCAGTCTGAGTCCATGAGATGGATGTTGCACTTGATGTACCCCTCCTAGGTCACACATGAAGCCCTCTGGACAGAGGATGTCTTTAGAGACGCCCAAGGGTGGAGTAGCAATGGTCACAACTGAAAAGTGTTGCCAAAGCTGGCTGACAAGGGTTTGACGAAAGCTGGGAGAGCACGGGTGGGCAGCACTGGGGAGCACTGACAGTTAAAGCAATAACCTTTCACATAGCGAGGGGCCGTACAAGCAAAGTGGTGGAGTTAAGGAAGTGATTTCTGATAGGACAGGGAAGTAATATTTCCTTCTCTTTCTTTGGAAGGGTCTCCTCCAAATCGCAAACGTCCGCTCAATGAGAAAGCAACAGACGATTATCACTATGAGAAATTCAAGAAGATGAATAGGCGATACTGATGAGCGTGGACCGATGATTTTCCACTAAAGGATTTTGTGTTAGTGATCTGAAATGGAGCTGGGGAGAGTCACCGCCTTCACACGCTGGTGTTACCTGCAGAGCGTTCCTTGTGATCTCGTAGTGAATCGGTGTGCTGGTGACTGTGAATGCTTTAGTCAGTGAAATCTTGTATATAACTTATTTTCAGAAAACTTCTTTTGTAAGAACAGGAGCTTTTATGGTTGGCATTTTTTAGTGAGAGAGCAAACTTGCTTTTACAGATTCTTTCACCCTCTTTAAAAAATAATGAAAAAAAGAGATCCTTTAAAAGCAGCAGTGCTGTTTGCCTTGTAAATATAAAGGGAAGGTTTCAAGCCAGTTTGCTGGAATGTGACTGTTCTTCCCAAGGGCCTTTGCTGTGCAGAGGGTGCAAAGCTGAGACGCTGCAGCGGTGCGTCCGGTGCCGCGGCTCCTCAGCCTGGCTTGCAAGTGCTCTGGGAGAAATCCCTGCGTTGGCTGTGCCCGGCGCTGCCTTGCGGGCTCCGTTGTCAGCGCGAGAAGCGACAGCAGGTGCCCAGTGCCAGGGGTTTTGTATCGTCCGCCTCGTCGTGTTTTGTGTCGTTTTTCTCCCTGCAGACTTCTTTCTGTAGCAGTTCACTGCGTTTTTATTTTAGCTGTGAAGAAAAGGAGAATTGGATCAGGTTGTAACTGCTGAATTAGAGGAAAATCACGTTTTCAGCTTTTAGGACAGGGTCAATGTGGTGGCTGGTGAAGAAGCC